GTCATGAACTCTCGAAAAGAGTATTTGGAGATGTCGGTACCTGTGCAGGACCAAGCTTCGTGTCTTCAAGGCCCTGATAGTGCCAGTTTTGCTATACGGTAGTGAAACCTGAGAGTCTCGACTTGATGCCTCGTGCCGCCTGTTGGCAGGACCATCGAAGACTGTGTCCGTGAGGGCTGGCTCGAGATGATTTGATCCCTCGTGGCCAGATCGATCAGGCTTGAGATGGGCCGAGTCCCTGCCTGGCGACTTGCCATGAGGGATCCTCGCAGGTACAAGCAAAGGGTGGATGCGGCTATGCTCCCCCGTCGGCGCTAGCTCCGCAATGATGATGGTCAGAGCTGTGGTCAAAGGAGGAGCAGTGGTTGGAAAACCATCAAAATCAAATTCAGATAGGCTATTTGATGAAGGGGCAAGCCTTAATGCCTCAATTAAGGGTAAAGAATCTTCATTAATGGCCATGGTGAGCCTGAATTAAGTGGGAAAAGAAACGGTCTACCCCTCAGGGTCCCCATAAGGGGTAAGGGCTAGGTAATTAACCAAGGGAATACCTTGCCCATGGCTTACGGAGACCGTTCGTGACTGACACAAAGCCAGCCTTTCATCCTTTCAGCATGGCTCTCACACCTTAGGAATGGAATAGAAGAAGGGAATAAAGAAGATATGGAAAAGGAAAGAAGAAAAGAAAGGACCAAACAAAATTAGTTGAGGCAAGGGCCCCAAGGTAGGGATAATCCTCTACATTGGGTCTCAGTCCCCGTCTCCTAAGCCCTCCCACAACGACAACGAGCTAGGTTTTGGGAGGGAAGAGACAGGTACTCGATTACAAATTAACTCTTTATTGTTAAGAGTTTACACACAAGTAGAAATAAAGATATGAAGATAGGTGGCACGGGCAGTGGTAACACAGCGTTGCGAGCAAGAGTGAAGATCAAGTTGTCGTTGCCCTTAAGTACCCAGGCTCGGTCATGACCCATGCTATGGAAGCAGATGTCAGGATGAGAGCGTGGCTTAGATTAATAATAGAACCAGGCAGACAGCACAGCTACCATGTGGCTTGGTCTTAAACACGTGCCTTGGATTGCAGTATTACAATGCAGTATGCCACACACACACACAGACGCCATCCATATTCATGCATGCTATCAAAGAGGGAGCCTGGCACATACGTTTAGAAGAGATTATTGCCACAATTGAGAACAGACCTAAGCCATCTGATGAAGGTGGCTACCCCGTCTGAGGTGAGAAGACTTTTCTGTGGCACCGCCAGTTAGTTCAAGCCACAAAAATGGTCACCAACTCCATCCAAAGGGTAGCTAAAGCTATCTCCAGTGGCCTTTGGTAGTAAAGGAGCCCAAGTGAATGCCCATACTAAGACTGAAATATTTGTTTTGCTTCAGTTCTCCCACTGGGAGTGTTAGAAAAGTATACACACAATGGATATGCAAAACTGGAAGGTACTCAAATAGAACAAGTCATAAGGGTAAGCTGAAAAACATTTGACTTAAGGCATTAATTACAAACATGAACACAAACTGGGAGGGGCGACAACACTGTCACCTCTGCGGTGTGTGGTGGATCTTGCCTCACTGTTTTTTTTGCCTGGTCCTACCTGTCATCTCCAGCAATAAGGTTTCTGATTCTAAGATGCATAACAAATTACTCATTACCAATCCTCACTCTTAAGAAAGGAAAATAAATATATATTATATTAAAGAACTTCAATTTCCATGTATTTCTTTTAAAAGTTGGAAACAGCCTTAGTGATAGTACCATGTATACAGACTACTGTAAAATGTTACTGCCACAATAGGAACTGAATAAAAGCTTCACATTTTGATCTCATCTGTAAAATACGAAATACATGAACAACTATAAGTATGAAATGCTTTGTAGAATTCAAAATAATCTGACATAATATTTGACTTGAAAAATGAAACATTACTATTCTCACAGCAGGTACATTCACATTTGGGCGTTTCTTAGGAAACCAGAAATATTTTTGACATCCTAATGTAACTGCTAACCATTTTATCTGATGGGATTGACCTTGACAGACCCCTTGTTTATGTGAAGATTTATCCAAACTACTTAATTCGTATAATTTCCTCTATATCTGGATTTTATGAGAGATACTTGTATTCGTAAAAAAAGCAAATTATGACCCCATCTGACCTCAGTGCACCATATATTATAATCATATTCATATTCATATATTATAATCATAATCATATTCACCATGTATTATAATCCTTATTCATCATATATCATAAACAGTATTCATCATATATCATAATCAAATCTCATAAATCAATTTAAGGAGGAAAGTACAATTTCAACTCTGATTGATGTGATATGATTGAGTTAATTTCGATCACAATATAATGATAAAAGAATAAGAATCTGGAAATAAATACAGTTTCATTATAGTGTCAATAAAAAGGCTGTCATTAGCAGACGTCAGATCTTCCTTTTCAGACAGTTAAAAGGCCTGGCGGACATGAAAGGATTGAAGGTTTTCATTCGCAGTACAAACAGCATGTGTACATGTGACTGCAGATGTACTAAAAACTAGGTGGTTATAAAAAGTAAGAAAAAAAAAAAAAAAGAAAAAAAGAAAAAAAAACTTCATTTAAGGCAGAAAAACGTACATGGACAGAAAAAGGAAATAAATGTTTATATCAGTGCTACAGTAGATGCCTCCCAGCAATAATGTAACCAAAATAACATCTTGTTTTAGACCAAAACAGAGGGAAGGCCAAGAAATAATCACAAATATCAGATGATTGGCATATTCTATCGAAAATATATATATATATATATATAATATATATATATATATATATATATATATATATATATATATATATAAGAAT